GATCCCAACAAGTTAGAATTGAAGAAACACTGAGTGATATAAATACCAATAGTTTTTTGGTACCACAAGGTACTGTTCTTGACCCAATATTATTTATTATTTGTATTAATGGGCTATTAAACTTAAACCTAAATGCTAATATTTTGTGCTATGCTGATAATACAGTGGTACTTGTAAAGAATAAATATTATAATAAACTAATAAAAGAAGCTAATTTATGTCTGGATTTGATTAAGAATTGGTGTGACAATAATAATCTTCAATTGAATTTAAGTAAATCTAAATATGTAATTTTTAATATTTCTAACTGTACGATTACATCATATAGTTCCATTTCTGAATTAGGCATACATTCTTATAATTTTAAATATTTAAATTTACTTTATAATTGTGTTCCTTTTGAGAGAGTGTATAATATTAAAAACTTAGGTATTCTTTTTGACCATAAACTAAAAATTGTTGATCATATTTATTCTGTTAATAATTCAATAAGAAAATTATTTTATAAATTTAAAAATACTACGAAATATCTTAGATCTTAAAACTTTAAGGGTAGTCTTCTTAGCTTTAGCACAATCAGTTTATTTATATGGTTCTTTGGTCTGGGGTTGTACATACTCCAGTCATCTTAATGTATTAAATACAATTCTTTATGTTCAACCTTTTATGTTATCATTCAAATGTCAAACTTTATTTATATATTTATAAAATTAAAAACTTAATTAAAGATTTTCAATCATCGCATGTTTACAATACTAGACTAAAACATAATAACAACCTAAATGTTCCCATGAATAAAACAAATTTTGGTAATCAAAGTATTATTATTAATGGTGTTTTATTATTACGTGTTTATAACATTAATATTTTTTCTTTTATTAATTTTAATCAATATAACAATCATGTATTTAGTGTACTTTCTTAGATTTTTATTCTTTTGTATAATTTGCTTTCAATTTGTAATTTAATATTACTTGTACCTTTTATGTTTTAATTGAACTCAACTCATCCGCATTCAAGCTTATTTGCTTATAGGATGAGTTGCAACTATCTTAAATATTTATTTTATATTTAACTTGTTAAACTGATGTTGTTGCAATAAATTATTATTATTATAAGACTCTCTTAGATTAAACAAAGACATTTTTCCTTGCTTTAAGTTTTGTAAATTTTTCAACCAAATTACGTTTTGCGTTTTTTAGTAGATATTGTGTGTATAAAATTCTCATAATTTATTCAAATTCATTTAAACTCGATTTATTATTAGAAATTAGTAAAATTTATAATGAATTAATTAAAATATAATACCTATTCACATACTTATTATACATATGGGTAATATTGTATTAATATTAATATTCATTAATTGAAGCGCTCGGCTGAACAACGGGACAAGTGCCACTGAGCGCATTTTACAATGGAGGCGTTTAAAATATTACGGACCATTTCCACGACTTAAAACTAAACTTATTATTGCTTATTATTGCCTTTTAATCTATTTTTATTGTAATTTCAATGTGGTAGTGAACATATACAATAAATTGTACTCGTGCCCCGATACTCCATCGATAAACGTAATATTGCCGAGATTGGCGCTTGTCCCGTTGTTCGGCCGAGCGCTTCAATTATGAATATTACTAAGGGTTTAGATTTTATAGCATTTACTAATTTTTATAGAATACAGATAAAAATAGCAATATAAATTTGTTTTATATACCAGACACTAAAAAAATGAAATTTTATTTTGATATTTTTTACATAATTGAAGCATTTTAGATTTTTAGCATTATCATCGAAGTTTTAGTGCTATTATTGGCCAATAATCAGAATAATATAATGCTTTATTTAGAATTTAACATAAATATGTATTATTAATATTGAATGAAAAATTATATTAATTTAAGTAATTTAGAAAATGATTTGGTAAAAACGAGTACATATTATTCAAAATTTGTATTTTTACATAGGTATATTTTTAATACATTTGTTATATTTCAAATCAGTGATTTCAGATTCATCATAGATATTAACTGTTGGATAATTTTTCTTTGTTAATTCGTTTTCTTATTTAATTATTTATTTAGATTAACGCTTAAAGAGCATAAGTTAGGAACTAACTTAAATTATATTAAACTAAATACCTATATTAAGTAAGATAGTAGATACTTATATAATATATTCAAATATAGCTAATATATATATACGATATGTATAGATTTAAAAATCATAATTAGGTATAAAAATACAGTGAATATATTAAAATTTAAATAAAGAATACAATTAAAAGTTATTTATAAATAGTACAGAAAAAATTTAATAAAGTTAAAAAATAACAATTATACTAAAATAAGTTGTTGAAAAAAAAATAATAACTCGGTTAAACAATTGAAATCTAAGAAGACATTTTTTAACTATAATTTATTATCTAAAACATACGAGTATATATTATATATGAATTAAAATCTATTTGTACATTTATGATAATATTCAATTTATTTTCCCAACTTTATAATTTACTTATATTGTATTTATTCTTCCAATACAAAATTAATAATAAAATTGTTACAGTAATTATATATTTTGGTTATATTTTAAAACATATTTAGCAAAATTATAATTTGGGACAAAGTTCTTAAATTTTATTTTCAAAATTTTTATTTGTATATATCACAACTACATTAAATAAATACTGTCAAACATTATTAAAGAAAGGTTTTTTAATTTAAGTGTTTTGCATTATAATTTTTTTGTTTCATTATATTATTAATAGTTTTTAACGCCATCCTTATATTATTTACATTATCAATTAAAATATTAGCAACTTTATTCAATAAATGATTGATATATTTAATATTGCAATTATGAAAGGGTTTTGGTTAATTATTTCTTACAAGTTTATAGATATACAATAGACGCCACTTATAAGACTCACTTTGGGACCAGCATAATTTTTTAAACAATTTTTTAGTTGAAGTTTGATTGTTATTCTTGTTTATACGAACTAAAATTTTTACATCAATGTTATGTTAATAGGAAATAACTAGATCATTTGATTTAACTATTAGCATGGTTACAAACTATTTATTTTTAATTTTTTTATCACTTTGTCAATAGGTAATTGTGTTTTGTCATTTTACTAAATTATTTCGTTATGATATTTTATATTATTTTATTGGTACTATCAAATGGGTTGAATCTCGTTTAATCAAGATTTTTAAACTGCATATGAATGCATAAATTATATTTTAATACATTGAAAATTATTATAAAAGAAATCACTAATAATCCAATGTGTTGGGTATTCTATTAGATTCACGTTATTATTATGAACTGTCCGAAAAATAGTAGTGGATATTATTTCATATTGAGAAAAATACACGGTCCAAAATAAATTTTTTTCAAAAACTCGGATATTGAAATTTGCTGTGAAAACTATGTAATTTTAGGTTATATTAATAAACCTACTTTATTTAATTTTATAAAAATATCAGCCAAGTAATAAAGTCAGAATAACTAAATTTTATCAGAAGTCCGAGTTCTAAATTAAATGGTTGTCACTAAAACAAACTCATTGCGCAATTCAAGTGATCATACCAATGATTTTCCTCAATAACTAAGAAATATAATAATATTTAAATGTAATTGATTCAGTTATGCCCACGTAGCATTTAAAATTCTCTTGCGAAACTCTGGGGCTCCGCGAAGTAACGTTTGAGAACTGCTATACTAGATGTATATTATTAAAATATAACTGGAATATTTACTAATGCAAAAAACGGTCTTATTAGTTATTAATAAATTATTTAAATGACCTCTTTTATAATATAATTTGAAACGTTTTCATGTGTAAGTCTTTGATGTGATTAGGATTTTGAGTAAATTTAGATTTAAAATCAGCCAGGTTTATACTTACAAGCTAATTTAAATTATGTTACATTCATGTTCATCCATATACACTGTTAGGTATTTATTATTTACTGATATTATTGATTCTAATACTTTCATATTCAAAAGCAAATTACTTCATACAATTTTTATTTGTTGAAAAACATAAATAGTATAAACAATATTGCTTTGATGAGGGATGAACAAAGGTATCAAAATATAATTTAAAAACCTCGAATAATCATTTAATTATATATTTTAGTTTTTCAATTGAAAATGTATATATTCATAATCTATATGGTAAATAAAAAAAATATAGTAGGTATTAACAAAAAAAAATGTAGGTAAAATAAATTCTTATTGATATATTTTTAATTTTAAATACAATTTACAGTAAAATTATTCAAAATTCTGAAAAAATAGTTTAATATTTTAAAATCTTTTAAAAATAAGTATAAAATATAAAGTACGATTTGAAAAGTTTTTTGATAAATTATTTAATTAATATAACAATTGATAATTATTTATACACAGTTATACAACATAATATACAGTGCTCGACATGCAAAATTATAGAAGGAGATTCTGTTTACTTAAAAAAAAAAAATAGCGTCCCCAATACTTGTTAAGTGTTATAGTTATAACGTAATTATAGTAAGGTACGCTAAAATTCCTGATAAGTAGTTGGGGTACTCTGCCCTCCTATACCTCCCTCGATTCGAACACTGATAATATACAAAACAAATAGTTAGCTAAAGAAAAAACTTTTTCTTTTTCTTTTAATTTAAATTTAATGTTACTGATAGACATCAAAATAAAATAAAAATATAATACATGTACAATTTTAAATAATTATCTATGAGATAAAAATTGAAAAAAAGAAGAAGAAGAATATATGACATAACAAGTATCATTGGAACTTATAAACTACGAGGAAATTAAACCATATCACTTTTGATAATTTAAAAAAAAAAAAATTAAAATACAATAGGAAATAATATTAGTATTACAAAATAAATCACAATAATATAGCTTTTAGAACACATATATATATATATATATATATATACACATACATACATAAACAATTACATAAAATTAAACAATGTATACAAAGTTATTTAGGAAGGAAAAAATATATTTCTTATTTGTAACTACGAACTTTCTGCTAACACCAAAGTCCTTTTTAGTATTTTTTCAAAAGTTTCTTCATTTACCAAATAATTAAATAAACACTTTGTTAGAATAACATCTACCCTTGGATCGTGTAGATAGGTAATCTCATGTGAATCCCAACAAATGATATCATGGGCTTCAGTTAGTGACAATAACCTGCCATTTTTATAAAATTTTCCTAAGGGAACTTGGGCTATGAGTTGTTTGGTTCGAAGGAAAGTTAGTCTTAAAAAGAAATCACCATTATTATAAACATCATAAGCTTCTAAATTGACTACAGCATTCCAAATACGTAATCTTTCTAGAATAATTACATCTGTAGACCCGTTCCATACCAATATAATATTATTTCTATTTTCGAAATTAAAGTGGTTCGCAATTATATTTCTAGTTAAATTTGTGTAGCACAATTTAAAGCCATTATCCATCTCCATTTTAAACGCTTTAAACTGAGCCAATTTTTTGGGGGCTAAAATTCTTCTAAAAAAACTTAAGACTTTACTTTGCTCTCGGCGTGTCATATTCATTGTCTTTCCATCTTTATCTATTCGAATCGGTATCCCTTCGAATTTCGTCACATCATTCTCCACAGAATCACTGTGGGAAATTGCACCGGATATTAAATATAGTAAATCATCATACAAGGCAAACTCGAAATCGACAACAGAAAACTTGGGCAATGTCCTAGAACAATTTTAATAATTCGATACATACATATATACATATATATTATAATTTTAAATTTATATATCATCCGTAAAACGAGGAGTTATACAATGATGTTTTCTTTATGACTTGAAACAAAGCAATAAGTCCACATTTAGTATTCGTCGTACCTAGTGGTTTTTCAATTGATCGTATAGTTAATAACTGCTATTATACATGAGAAAGGCTCTAGCATATTACGTATTACAGTAAAACTTCGATAAGACGAAATTGATCGGGACCATGATATTTTTCCGTGTTAACGGAGTTTCCGTCTTGACGGAGTTAATTAATTGTATGTAATTTGAGACGGGACCAAAATAATGTTCCGTTATACCGAGGTTTTACTGTATTTAATTTTTAGAAACAATATTTTATCTAAATATATGTTTGACTTACTAATTACAAAAAATACTATTAACAGTAATAATATTTTTTTTTTAATATTGCATTGCTATTATATTTCTTATAACAATAATGCGTAATACTTAATAGTAATATTAATAAATATTATTAATATAGTATATAAAAACGAGCGTAACTCCTAATAAAATAAAAGTACGATGGATGAATAATATTGTTATATTAGTCTTAAAAACTTGAAACCAATGTACAATTACTCTTGAAAAAACAATTCTGAGTGAATGAGGTAGGATGAATCATTATATACGAGAATTTTTAAAGATAATGCATAAGGTTAATAATGCAGTAGAACTACTTTTTTTTAAAATGATTGGTTAAACTTTTAATACTATAACTTTTTCGAAAAAGGTAAAATAAATAAAAGTTACATAGGTAGGTTATTAAATTACATTATTATTATTATGTTCTCATGTACAACATTTTTTGTTCTTTCGTAAATCAAATTAGAATTTGGAAAAATCGAATATTTAAAATGCCTATAAACAACACAAATTCCATTGAAATTCTAATTAAAGTACTCAGTTAATGTCTTAAAACACTACAATTAATATTTATTGAGTAACAACCAAACAACTAATATCGTATAATCGAAATTCATTGAAATACACGAATTCGTTAAAATTTAATTTCTAAAGTATATAAAATCTCATAATAATCTTGTTTAGCAATTCTTTAGTTTCTCATTATTTTACCATTTAGTCATTTATATAGAATCAAAACATCATTGTAATTTTTCCTCGATGATAGAGATGCTACAAACATTATTTTCGATGGCGAAAAACGGTTAGTCTAATCAAGTAATAAGTTTTGCTTTTTTTTTAATATAAGGATTATATTGAAGTCAGCAGTCGGACTTGCATTGTAATAAAAATTTATTTCAGAGACATACTAATAAATACTGTATAGAAAATAAGATATTATAATATAATAAGATAATAAGATAAAAAAAAACAAAACTAAAAATCTTAAAATTTTCTATGTATAAAAAAATAACTAATAATACAGTTATAAAATTATTATTATTTGAAACATACCTTCATGTTGATAATATTAAATAGGTAATGAAAAAAAAATGTTAAACTCATTCAAAACTTTATAAGTAAAATTGCATAAATACATTTTTAATATGTATTTTACAAATAATTGTGTATATAAATAAATAATCATACATATATTATTTTACATATTTATAAAAATCGTAACTATTTAAAAAAATTAAAAAATATTAGTATATTTTTTAATTGGACAGTGTCATTTTTTAAATAATGTTTTAAATAAAAATATCAAATTATTTTTTTTACTCCGACACCATGGATGATGAGTACTAGAGTACGGATTTTGAAAGCATTTGCTTCTTTTTTTTTTTTTAAACTTTTTTTTCTAAACCAAAGTTTTGTCAGCTACAAATTCGATTTATACTACTTAGAATAAAAAGCACGACATTTTATTTTGCTTTCTTTTACGTTTTTATAAAAGAAGTATATTAATGCTTTTTGGGTATTTTGGATACTTTTTTACTTTCATGTTACATATTTCAAATATTCCAGCTTTTTTAAGTATTTCGGTTACTTTTTTTTTTTGATTTTAAGGTACATATTTTTCAAAATGTGTTCTAAATAAACGTATTTGAAATGTATGTAATTGTATTAAATGTAATTGTATAAAATGTATTTAATTTAATTTAATTTTATATTTTATAATGTATTCCAAATCTTGTTCAATTATTTTTTGACAACCTTTCCCCGTGCGTTCAGTTTGTCACATACCGTATGATATATAGTAGATTAATATATCTGGAAACGGCAATAAACAAAAAAATATGCTCTTGCTCTGGAAATTATTTACTAAAATTATAGTTTAGCTTTCGTTATACACCATACAGCCATTTACAAAATGTCGAAAATTAATAATTTTTTTTTTTTAAACCATTTTTATTTTTATTTTTTATTTGAAAGATTTATAAAACTTAATTACTTTTTTTTGTGCTTTTCTTTAGTTTTTTATTGCTTTAAAACCCGTACCCTAGTGATCACTAATATCACCTATATACTTTTCACTGAATCATTGAATGTATCTTTGTATTAATAAGTATATGTTTTTGTTTTTCTCATTAACTAAAGTGGACTATTATTTATTTAATATTAATAAAAAATTTTAGATTAATTTATTAAAAAAAAAAGCTATACTTATTTTTAAAATTTAAATAAATAATACAATATTATAAAATATGTTGTCATAATAATAATAATAAAATAACTAAATTGTACTAACAAAAGCTAAGATTCAGAGTTTAAAACAATAATTTATTCGAACATTACATAAATGAATATTATAGCTAAAGGTTCTGTAGATATATAAAATAATATTTTATTTAAACCAACGAGAAATATTGTAATAAAAATTTTAAATATAAGAAATAATGCACATTTACTTGGAATAGAGGGATAGAGTTTATCACAGTAACTCATTTACCTTTTTAGTGTGTATATAAATAAAAATAAGTTAATATTTAAAATAAAAACATATTATGTATACAGATAAATTACAAAAAACATAAATTAAAATAATATTTATTGTATATTATTAGTTAATAATAATATTAGCAGCAATATCTAATTAAGATTTACAACACCAATGATTTACTAGCTTATACATACTAGGTATTATTATTGTTACAAGCTAGAAACCAGTTTACTTAACAGCATATAAATTACGTATTATATTTTAGATCATATGATATAGCAAATAAAACTAATACGATTTATTAATTTTAAAAATGCAGTTAAAGCAATAAAATTAATGTTATTACAAGAGTTATTAAATTTTCCAATGATAATAGATAATAAATACAACAGTATTTACTTACTTATAATTAACAGTTAAGTCTTTCTGTTGTTGAGCCATTATATAAATTGAAACTGTACTTGTTGAATACTGTGAACAACGAAAATTAATTATTTTAATTGACTTGTTGTAAAATCTATTTACTAAACAAGAATCATCTTATTTGAAATATTATGATTAGTAAAGGTTAGAGAATGTTTTACATTTAGCCCATTTTTTAAAATAACAAACATATCATATCGTATTCGATTTCAAAATATATAATTCAGTTATTTGTTTTTTAAAAAATTATATTTTCTTATATAATTGAAAGTATCTCAAACCAGTTTTACTTTAATTTTTAATTTACATATTCATAAAAATATGCATACTCTTTATGATAATTAAATTCATTGACATGTGTGAAATATTCATATTAATCATACAATTTAAGTTATCATGATTATAAGAAGAGAGACATGTCAATAATGCTAATAATCCACACATAAAGCACGAAGCATTCAAACTATAGAACAAATAAGTAATGCAAAATGTACTATTTTCGTCGAAGACTATAAATGCGACTATATTAAAATTGTATGTAACTTAAGATAACAAAACTATCATCAAATTAAAAATTATTATCTTATTCAATGCAGTTCATTATACAGAAATAATAATATTTATTTTGTATAGTTTACATTATTAAGTTGAAATTATTTAAATTTCGACAACTCGGATTGTTTGTCATTATATCATCATAAAAACGCCTATACAGTATACATTCACTGGAGTTCAAGCACTCACGTGTACAAGCACGCGGATAGACGTCATAACGGAGCATATGAATATTGATCCCTGAATAACTTCTAACATTTTTTTAAATAACTGAAATTGTAAACGTTAATGATTTAGCGTTTCTAAGGAAATTGCCTTCATATTATAAATACCCTGGTCGCTTCAATTTCTCTTTTTTTTTTGTATTTTAATCTCGTGTTAAAGAGTTATTTACGTATTTTCACAAATGACCGAATAGGTGCTTGATAATTATAATTCATAACCATTTAAGACCCCGTATAATACACAGCGTACATGATATTATATAACCCGTATGTGGCAGGAACGGATAAAAATAACATTAGTAAACATAAAATGATGAAAAATTGGATGATTCGGAAAATTATAAATTACAAATATTTTATACATACCCAAAGCCAAATCTTATTTGCGGTACACATACACACACACACATACGCAAATATCATATGTTATAACTATAAGTATTAAAATATACAAAAACTTGTATACTTCCAAACAGAAACTGCGAACCATACAAGATATGATTACGTTTAAAATAATTGTTAAATGACGATGGATTCTGCAAAAAAAAATTGACTTATATGGCTCGTTATGATTTCCTTATTTTTACTAATGTGCATATTATCATATTTAATAAATAGAAATTGCGATTAATCGATTGCGGCATTGATTGTACACCGATTTATATTAATTACATATTTTATTTTACATTATCATGTTATTATCATCATATTTTACATTTATTTTAATTACACGAATTAGAAAAAAGATGATTACGAAGCTGTCAATTATAATTTGAGTTGTGAGCACTTATTATTTTCTTAATTGACAACATGAACGATTAGAAACCGTAACCTTTATGTTCAGTGTTTCATAATTATTAACCATATGATATCCATTTTTCGCGTAGGAATTCACGTTGGATTTCTTATAAACATATAATTTAAACAGTTTATACGTCAAATTTCGACATTATATAATGGCATCAATGTTATAGATCAATAGCGTTATAGCGTGTAGGTAATCTGAATTATCGTTCATAACACAAAAGACTCAATGAATGTCGTTCAATTAATTTCGTTGTTTTTTTTTTTTTTTTTTGTCCGGTCAAGCTGGTTGCGCACTAACGCGTTCTAGACGCTAGCGTACGCGTTTCAAACATGCAGCGTTTAAATGCCGAAAAATTAAGCTATCACGGTGTTCGCGCACGCTATCGCGGAACCGTACGCGTTTCTTCTACGTTCTTTATAAACGCGTACGCTAACGTTCTAAAACGCGTAGTGTGTACAAGGATGAGACATCGAAAGGCAGTATCGACGCTTTTACTTGGTACAAGTATCAAAAACAACATTCAAATTCCTTACCTACACTGTTATCCTTTCAGCTGAAATAACAATAATAAACGTAATACTATTATAATACAAGTTTTTGATAGATAAATTATGCTGTATGAATATTTACGTATTTAATACTTAAATCACGATTTGTGCGGTTTAATATTAACGTATATAATTATTATACTCACGTTTAGGTAACAATGTAGAACTATTCACACATTATCATCTCTTTCTTTATGTTTACTTAAAATTGTACGTTGAAAAAATATATTTTATACCATTCGTAGGTATGCGAACACGTAGATATGAGGCATGACTACTCATGAACCGATTCAATACGAGTAAAGTATCGAAACCAAAAGTAACTACTTGTATCGAAAGAAAAGTGTCGGTACATTACTGGTTTTCGGTAATAACGCAACGTCCCAAAACGTGTAACCAGCTATAACCATTTGTTCGCTATCGTGACCGCATGGGCGCGCGACCCGATTTGAACCCGTAACGGACATAGCGCATGAACAATATTATAATGTACAGTGTCTGTTGGAACGGTAAGGTTACGTAATCGTAAAGGTTATCTTGCGTGAAGTCGGAACGGAAAACACGAGCAAACCTATGTATACGAGAATCGGTTGTGCATCGGTATTTTAATCAGGATTTATGACGACGACGAGATCAGTCGCGGGATTGAAAGCAAAACCGCCGATGGTCACACGTTTTGTACTGTCGGCCGCGGTTCGAGCACGAGAGCGTGACTATCGCGACCCACCAAAAATACGTTGGACACCGCTGTTCGGTTGCCGTCGTATAAAAACGCGTTGGGTTAGACGCGTTACGTGTATCGCTCCGACCGCGCAACGGTAAACAACGAGCGGAAATATTTGAACACGCATACCATAAATTAACATAACGAAAGAACATGGTAAAAAACGGCAAAAAAAAAAAAAACTACTGCGAAAGATAATGTAAACCATGCGGCGGCGGCGACGCTCATGAATAATAACGAGGCAAAAAAAAAAAAAAAATTATAATGTACCGCTACTATTACGTTGAATGCTTGTACTTACGATGGACGTCGAACGTGTTGGGCACGTAAAATATGTTGCTGGTACGCCGTACGTGGTAGTAATGACGACAAACGTATGAATGTTTACCCGAAAAAACGCGTTGTCGGACGAAGAATACAGTGGGTGCGTGTGTGCGTGCGGTTGTACGTGACGGTCTTCGGCGTGTGCAGTGGAAAAGTGTCCGGGACAGCTGCGTGCGGGACAATGAACGTGACGGCGGCCCGATCGGTCGGCAGCTGCGCTGCCGAGAAAAACGGGAAAAATTCAAGGTCGCCGTCGCGCGTGTTCCGAAACCCCACCGCTGTAACGTAGGGACTGGGAGCAGCTGTCACAACAATAACAACAATAACAACAACGCCGAATTGTACTGGTCGGCCGTCGACGTCGCGTACCCGATGCCGGCGGTGTCGCCCTCGTCGATCCCCCGGCCCCCACCACCACTCGCGCCGCATACCGAAAAGAAGTCCGTTGTGGATCTGCTCGGCCGTGGTGCGCGCGCACCGTCGTAACATATGGTAGGCGCGCGCGTACAACGAAGACCGCCGCCGAACGCGCGTGTACGTACAGCGTTTGGTGGAACACGGAAAACTGAAATATTCGACGGACGGAGAGTGAGCGAGTGGGAAAGAAGCGCGAGACCGATAGAGCGACAGAGAGCGAAATCGATTCCGAACGAATCGGTGCGGGCAATGGTTCCTCCGCATTGAATAGTATTAGGGAATAACACGTACGTTTTTCGAAACGGACGCGCGTCGCCGTAACGAGTAATGGACGTTTTTCGTTCACGGGACTCTTAGGAGATAAAAAAAAAAAAAAAAAAATCAACGCACTTCCAAAAACTTAGAACGCCGATTATCTCTACCTCGTAACTGGAGGTCGGATTTTTATGATTTCACATATTTGGTCCTTGCAGTTAAATGCGAGTACGATACCTTCACGATTCGGGAAACACGGAATTCACGGAAAAAAATTTATTTTGCATAGAAACGCATAGTTTACGGGTTAGGGAATATTTGGGAATATTTTACAATCATTTTTATTTTTGTAAATGTTTTTTTTTTTTTTCTAAAATATATGATCAATTTAAATGTAGCTATTAAGCTATTTAATGACATCTGGATTTTATTTAACTCAAAAGTGTCCGTGAAATCCCTAGACTACTCTCGCGGAGCCCTTGGCCGGGCGCAGTTTGAGAACCGCTGTGCGACCGTTTTGAAACATTTTAACACGTTTTCGATGGTTTTTGTCCGTCGAACGACATACGTATCTCTAAACTAAAACGCACATTTTTTTCCCCCACCCGTCAACGAATGAACAGTGTGGCGGGGCACAACACGCCTATTATGTTCTATCGCCGATCGCATTTGAATAGGCTCCACATGAACACATTACCAACGATGGGAAATGGATCGATAATGAAAAACTAACAACAAAATACAATATAGCCGTGGTGAATACGGTGCGAGTAAAGCCGAATATTCGATCGGTATCGATATATTTTAAAACGATCGCAGACGATCAAGGGTTTTATTCATTTGGCTTACATGCAATGTAGTAAATGTATTATAACGTAAAACAAACTACTAATTGTTTTTTAGAGATAAGGCTACCGGTGTAAGTATCGGTATATCCACGTATACGCCAGTAATCGTTGGATTTATATAAACCAATGTGTCTTAAGCGATTTCGATCATTCTAGAAGTTGTGTCATTTGTTCTCAACAAAATACCTCGTTCGAATCGAAAATTGTTAAACTGCACTTTTTACCACTCGTGTCAAATATCGAAATTTGTTATAGATAAGCGTGCAGTGAACGTTAAAACAGATACTATCAAGTCGAAAACCACGACGGGATACACCGAAAGAAAACGTGCTTCATATAACCCTCGTGTATAGAAAACCGAACTGACGTACAGCCCGAGGCAGCGATTTAGGCTGCGAGTGCCTATAGATTTGCAATCGCGGTTTTCAAAAGCCATATCCTTAGGAATGATTTCGCGTTTTTTTATTACGTAACAAACTAAAACACTAAGGCCGTTTGCACACAGTCCGATGATATCGGACGATATAATCGGTGACGGTAATAATATTGAATCTATTTTTCACATTAGTCAAAATTATCGGTCCGATAAAAGAATAAAAATCAAATTTTTACGGTTATTGGGCTGTATCTATCAGTAATTTCTTACTATTTCTAGTGTTTAACAATTAAAAATGAATTCTTAAAAGAAAATCGCTCTCTTAGCTATATTACACATTAAACAAATTCCCATTTTTCTTTTATTTTAGATTTCTGTCTTTATACTCATTTATCGTTTTATCCCAAAGACATGGCCTTGATTCCACTAATTCAATCAGAGTCAGCATCTCGTAGGGAAAGTAACTAATTTTTCAAAATTTATAATACTTTTTGTATTTACTCAAAAAATATTGAATACGTCTACTTGATGCATGCGATGAATTAAACTACATTTTATTTCATTATTTCGATAATATCGACGAGTGTGCAAACGAACCATTTATTTTTAGTTAAAATAATTTTTAGTTAATTAAAACCGGACCGATAAAGTATCGTCCGATTTTGGACGTTTTTCCAACATGCACAACGATATCGATGAAATAAATCAGACATTTTATCGGATTGGAACTAGTGTGCAAACGATTGATTTAAAATAACGCTTTATCGGTGTATCCGACAAAATCACCTATATTATCGGACTATGTGCAAACAACCTAACGGTAAACCAAAACATCGTGGTTTTCGATCGACATTCAAACAATTTATACGGGTTTTTGAGTTATACATTTACAATTCCCTAACTTTATATAATGATATATTTTTAAACTTGTAAAGTAAATACTATCTCCAGTTCTCCGGATATTTGGGCGATATAACGTCATACAAACAAATACAAACAAGATTTTATATTAAATATTTTATATTATATAAGATTATATTCCGAATCAGGATAAGTTCTAGTTATGTGTGGCAAAGTTTTTTCTAAAATGTGATTGTTTCGAACAAAAATTGCGGTCGCCGCCGCCACCAGACCGTTATTCAGATCGTATTTTAAAGTACGTGTCACTCCAGTGTTAATTTAATTTTAACCAGTGATAGGTGATTGTGTCATTGACCAACAAATTTTCATAAAGACCGATGCCAATGTAAATTTTATTAAATTAATAATTAAATAAAACTATATATGTACAAAAAATATAGAAATAATTATTTTTTGTAGTAATGCAGTTGCCATTTTGGAATTGTCAATAAACGCTATCACTGGTAATTAAAAACTATTTTGAGCTCTCGTATATTTTAATGCATATTATAAAATAACAAAATATTTTATTTAATGTAGAACATGAACACAATAGATTTGTTGTTAATATAAAATATAAATAGATGTTATACGAAAATAAAAATTAAAAAATTAAATAATACACGAAATTATAACTATATTATCAATCTCTTCAGAAGTTGTTAATCTTCATAGTCTTCGTAAATTGAAGTCTAGTGAGAATACGTGATGTATAACTACATTTTAGATTTCATTGTTTTTGCAGAATAACGCAGAAAATATTTTAAATCATTTTTACTGGTTGGCACTTCAATAAAATTGTCTACCAGAGGAACGGGAAAATCAACTCCTGTCTCAACAAATTTCAATTACTGAACTCTACTGAAACCTACACATAGGCGTGCGCAGTCCTACATTTCAGGGGGTGTCTGCAATAATTTCGGGCCTATCTTAACAAAACGCATAGGTACATTTGATAAACGTAACTTTAATTTTCTATTTGATATTGTGCGATATATTAGTCCCAATCAATATGTTTTCTTTAAATCTTATGTATTCTTCTCAGAGAGCTTCAATTATTTATGAAATGTATTGGAGTCAACTGTAGCTGTTGTGTCATCAAAAGAAGTTTTCTCACAAGAATTTAAAACATTTAGTTATAGTTTGTCCATTACGAAACACCATTTATCTTTTACCAGATATTTTAGAGTAGATACATTTCATTTGAGCAATATCAGTTATAATACAGGCCCATTACTCTTGGACTTCAATCGTAGGGCCCTATTTACAATATACTTACAATATACAATACTTCGGAGGGTGCCCGGACACACCCGGCACCCACCGTGTGCACGCCTATGGACCTATATCAACATTCAAGGCCTGTGAGAGGGTTAATTGTAAACAATTATTTTTAATATAAGTAATAAAATAATACATTGGAATAATTTTCAAATAATTTGTTACGGAAATAATTTAATAAGCATGAATAAATAATAAACATTTAGTTAGGTATTTAAATAGGGCTTCAAAAAGTAGCCCTTTTTTTTTGATTAATTGATTTGGTAATTAATAAACGATCAACATACGAAATTCCTCGAAATGGTAGTCATTTAATGTGATACCTACCGAAAAAATGTTGATTTGCATATTTTAATATATTAATGCATATACTTATACATGTTAAAGATTTTTTAATGCATATTTGGTTGGTTTTTAATACATATAAATCCGCGCTATAATCATAACTTATTCATCAAAACTTAATTTCGAAAAAATAAATATTGTTTATGATAAAGCGTCAAACACGTGAATGCAATTTTATGAATATTATCAACATCCAATAAAAAAGCATGTATATAAGAAGTAGCGGAAAAAATTCAACCTTAAAAATTTATAATATTATTGTTGTGATCCATTAATATATTAGTGTTATATATTAAAATTGTATTTTTAATAACATTAAATTTAATTTTGTACGCGGCCTTCGATGAAAATCTTATTAAAAATATAGCCTACATAAGTAAAAAGATTATTTACCCCTAGTCTTCTATAATACCTAAAAACGGTTTTGACTGTACTATTTTGGTGAGGTAACTGAAAAACCACCCCTTCTCTGTTTTTCCTCCTAAAATCGAAAATTAAACGTCATAATAATGGAATTAAAAACCATTATACAAATAATAATTATCGAAGAATAATACCTATTACCAATTAAAATAAATAACAATACATATATTTTTATATGTACTTAAATATATAATAATTAATAACAATATAATAAGTAATTGATGGTAATAGTATCCTTATATATAGTATATAGTGTATAGGGATAGTAATACAGTAGTGAACACTTTAAAATGGCGGACGCACAAACGTAAGGACGATAACAAATGGAAATTATAAGGAAAAAATATTAGAATAGAGAAAAATTTTAGAAAAATAAACTATTATTGATTAATATTTCTAAATTGTATTAGTACCTATTTATACATGCAATACGCATTATTTGGTGTAGGTACACTCGAGTAAGTGTTATATTAGACGAGTTTAAATATTTCCGTACTATAAATACTATGTTTAATTAAATAATAGTAATATAAAAATTGTAAACAAATTACATGTATAATATTAATCGTCGAGTTGCAACAAGTCGAAAATCCTAATATTCATCAGAACCGTGGAACGCAAACAAATACTAAACCATAATTTATTATGAAGTAATTTCTACATATTTTTTTTTTTTAGTATTGTATTATTTATCTGTTATTATTATACATAACCTTGAGTTGTAAACACTATAAAATAATATAAATGTATTTATTTTTAATTATTATTTCTTTGATTCTGTAAAATTTATACGCCAAGTGAGTAATGAATATATCAGTATATAGTATTTACTGTTTTCTATTTATTTGCATTTCATACTCCTGATGAATATTAGGACTTTTTTAATTATTATCAAACTCCATATTTAACGTGTTCCAAGTTATTTTTATCGTTGTAATCAGTATAGGTCTGGCTCACCCGGATACCGAATCGCTTGGGGCTCTGAGCTTTATTCTTAAAATAGGGGAACATCACAACTACTTTAATATGAAAAATTATAGCCATTATTTCCCTGAATTAAATTGATTTTATGTTATTCTTACCTTAATCTTAAAATATTGTACACGTGATAAGTTGTATAATCGAACTAGGTATAACCCCTATAATTTATACATTTTTGTTCTCTTGATCAAATTCAAACGAATATATATATATATATATATATAAGTACTTTGAAAAATTGAGATACGTGTTGTTAACGATTACACATACAAATTTATTTTCTGTGAACGAGCGTTTTTAAAACTATACATTTTGAAAACTTAACTCAGGTTTTCTACAACAGCCAAAACATCTTGAATGAAAATAAAAGATGATTTACATTTTTAAAAAATGATGAAATAATTGATTAGTTATCATAATTTAGCTCCAAATCATACAGATTATTATTTTAACTCGTTAAGTATATTATTATATTAATTAAATTTAATCAGTTTTATTGCTTCAAATAAGTTTTATTATAGTATTGTTTATTATTAAAATAATAATGTGTCACTGTGGGACAGGGGGGGGGACTAGAGTCACGTGGCCCGTACCTTCTAGAAGACCTGTCGTCTCAGTCTTATATACAACATTATTTTATAATCTCATTTGCTATAGTATAAGTTGCAAATTTAAATATTTTTACTGTACTAAATTATGTACAAGTAGTATGTATATCTTAGCCAAACAAATATAAGTAAAGGGGGCCTGAAACCGATCGATCCCGGAGCCTTCAAAAGTTCTTATCGGCTCTGTCAACATTACCAATTTTTCAATAATAAAACTTTCAAAAAATTATTAGACCAGAGTATTTGATACTGTCTGCGTTTAAAAACATTGTATTAAACTGATTAATCAATTATTTTTAATTTAAGTCACAAAATAATACATAAGAATAATTTTTAAACAATTTGTTACGGAAATAATTTCATAAGCATTAATAAATAATTAATAAATAATAAACATTTAATTAGATATTTAAATAGGACTGCAAAAAAGTAGCTTCTTTTGATTAATTGATTTTGTAATTAATAAACGATCAACATAGGAAATTCCTCGAAATAGTAGTCGTCTAATGTAATACTTACCGAATAAATGTTAATATAATATAGGCACCGGTAAAATAATATAATCTCTGTATGTATGTATGTATGTATCATCACAATAAATATTATTAAAATTTGTAGTAGAGTTCGAGTGTAGTGAGAAAATAATTTTTTTATTGAAAGATATTGAATTTCACTTCAATATTAAATTGTTTAGGGATACATTTTAAATTTTTTGTTGGAATCCCAATCATGAGCCAGACTGACACTGGTTATGTTATCGTGTGTTTAATAAATGTTGATTATGTGTACAATTGTTTTAACATTTTTCACCACTATACAATACTAATAACCAGCAGCGTATCCTGGGGTGGTTTGGGTTGTTATACCCCCCCCCCAAATGTTTAGTGTATGTATATTGTCTATTGATTATAATAAAAACACACAAAATTCAAAAAAAATTTTAAGTTACATTTTTTATAATCCCTCCCCAAAAAAAAAATTCTGGATACGCCAATATTAATAATTATAACATACATATTTCATTATATATTATATTAATAGACAGTATTATAACTATAACATGTACTATAACTACACATACACCTTAAAAAATAGTTCTAACCATATACAATTACGGATGACGAAAGTGTTTTTATACTCAATACTTCCAGGCTAAATCTATACAAGTCGACATTATATGATGAATAGCATAAAAAGTAACAGTTTTCAATTTGTATAGCAATCAATAATGTAACAATCAATGGGTACTTTTTATGATTTAATTGCAAACATGCAATGCTTTTCAACAATGCATTTTTACCATATTCAACCTCATTAATCGTATACATAAGTGTTATACATATAAGAGCATATCGTGTAACATTACATATCGTGGCTTTACAATTTTCTCCCTTTATTCATACGGAATCATTAAACTATTATCATTATTATTAACACTTCTACTTTTAATACTGTAACGATTGTTACATACTATTAATGTCTACTCATGTAATATGGATATTGCTGAGTAGACATCACGTTAATTTACATGTTTACGATATTACATTAAGTCGCGGCAGTTCTGTCACGACGTTCTTCCGATGTAGCTGAACTCCATATTGTCTTGATGTAGTCCATAGTCCGTAAGTCATATTTATATATATATATATATATTAAATAACAATAACTAAACTAAATCAATCTACATTTATTTGTAATATTAAGATCTTTCCTTTTATGCTCCCGAGCTACGGTATAATATATTCACAAGGACTAGAAAACCTTCCCTGAATATCATATATTTAACTGGTCATCCCCGACCACGTTACAATACTATAACTATATTCTTGTAATTTTTTAATAAAATTATTCCAACTGATAAAAAAAAGTCTATTGCCCATAGACTGTAAATAAAACAATTATTTTGTGACTATGTACTAATCTTTATTATGATATATCTCGTACTTGTTACCATGTTCACTAAAGTGTTTAAATATTTGTTATTGAGACCCAATATCAATTTATTTGTATTTTCAGCTATATAACATCGATATAGCTGTAACTATATGTATGTAAAATAAATTATTTTTAACACAATCATTGTGTTTTGAAAAAAGTAAATATAATAACGTTTATTTACGTAATCTTGTCCAAATTACAGCATGGACGGTAAGTAAAAACGAAAAATACCTAACAGTTCATACAAATGTTAATAAAACTATATGATACTCAGTAAATATCAAGGAAGATGAAGAAAAAGATTCAAACATAAGTCAACTAACACGGCAAGTTTCTTTGCACACTTTAAATGGTTTTAATGAACTCCGACTAAATGAGAAACTGTGTGATGGTTCGATAATATTAGATAACGGTGACGTATATCCAATACATCGATCAGTTCTGAGCGGTTCTAGCGATTACTTTAGGTGAGTAGACAAAAAAAAATATGATAAAAATTTGAAAAATCTTCAAAATAACTTATTTTCTACATCCTATGTAATAATACAATATTATTTGTTACGAATAACAAGGTTTATGAAAAAAAAAAAAAATGGAGATAAATTTTAATCGAATTATAATTTGTAATTGTTAATTATATCTATAATAATCATCAATAATTAAAAAAGTATAAAATATTTATATGATTATAATATTTATTTTTTGATTTAAGTTTATTATAAATAAATATTGGACCTTACCGAAAAAATTCGTGTGGAAGCCCAGTGTCTAGTATAAACATTAATTAAAAAAGTTATTTTGTTTATCATATAATCAAAGATAAAACTGATACTACCATTATATCCTTAAAATGCTATATTAAAAAATAAAGCAAATATAGATTTTACTATAATAATCATTGTAACTATTTGTATATTATTGAGAAAAAAGATACTTGTAGCTATTTATAATTGTTGAAAAGACGAATGGCACGAATCAGACGTTACCGGTTATTCTTTTACAAATGTTGATATGTAAATTTATTTATAAGTTATTGTAAATAAGATTTACTTTTTAGGACACTCTTTACTACACTACCCGACAACAATTGTATGAAAATACATTTGAAAACGGTAGAAAGTTCTACAATAGAGCAAATTCTACAGTACATTTATTTGAGACAAGTAGACATATGTTATGATAACATATTAGATATAATGCAGACAGCTGACTATCTGCGTATTGACGGTCTGGTACAACTTTGCAGCAAATCACTAATAGTCGATTATTTGGAACCCGAAAACTGTGTAACTTTACTGCAGTTCGCCGAGTACGTTGTACGAAATATGAATAAACTCGCATCACATTTCGATTTTTATTTTTAGTGTATAATAGGACTGTACCATAGGCGTGCGTATGGGGGGTGTTGGGTGTGTCCAGTCACCCCCTAAAAAGTTATAAATGGATGGGGCCCTACATTTTAAGTCTATGAGCAAGTGGCCTGCATTTTAACTGATGTTGCTGAAATTAAATTTATTAAATTAAATTTTATTCTAAAAATATTTGGTAAAAAATAAATTATACTTCGTAATTGAAAAAAAAAACAAAATAAAATGTTCTAAATTGTTGTGCAAAAACTTATTATGATAATACAACAGCTACAATTGACTGCAAACGTATAAATCATAAATAACTGGAGAAATAATGAGACTCTAGGAAAACATATTCATTGGGACTAACGTACCACAATATTAAATAATAAATTAAAGTTATGTTTATTTAATTACTGGTACATATACATTATAATTTATTCGATATAGCTATTCATTCTGTTAAGATAGGGTCCAAGAGTATTGTAGGCACCCCCCTGAAATATAGGTTTGCGCACGCCTACGGACATATTATAATATGTCGTTTTCAGTTACTACAATTTCGTTACACTGAGCGAAGCGACATACAATTATATTATCAAAGGATTTATGAATATTGTGAAACAAGACAACGATCTTATGAAACTCAAAAGAGAGGAATTCAAAAGAATAATTCAAGACAACCGGTTAAACGTGAAACGAGAAGAATGTGTATGGGAGATTTTAGTGAAATGGGTCGACAAGGATCCTGATAATCGAACGAACGATTTGGCGTTTCTGTTGCCGAATGTTCGTTTTGGCCTAATGAATGTCAAATATTTTGTTGATAACGTAATATTTTTGTTTAGATTGCAAACGGCACACTAATTAAAACTACTATACTTGTAATATTGCAAAACGATTGATCATATTGTAGGTGAAGAACCATCATTACTTACAGAACCGACCCGATTGCGCATCTTACATAACAGAAGCTTTTAAGTGTTTACGTCAGCCGGCTTTGTTGTCGACGAGTCTCCTAGGACCAAAGTTCGCGCAACCCAGGTACCCATTCGAATTATTGTTCGCCATTGGTGGTTGGAGCGGCGGTAGACCGACTGGTTTAATTGAAACATACAACATCAAGTCGAATCGTTGGACACAAATATGCAAAGAAGATCCACTTGGACCGAGATCGTACCACGGTACACTCGTCATAAACAATGACATTTATATCATCGGAGGATTTGACGGGACGGAGTATTTCAATTCTTGTAGAAAATTCGATACGAGTACAATGACATGGAACGAAATAGCGCCAATGCACTCTAAAAGGTGAATATGTCTAAAAATGATTTGTAGATAGTTAAACTAATATATTAAGAATAAAATTTAAGTAAATTGTATTAAATCCTCATAATTATTATTATAGGTACTTGTATACAAACACATTATATATTTGATTATTTAAAATTTACAATATAAAAAAATGTAATTCAATGAACAGGGCTTTCCTTAAAATTGAAAAATGGTTTGCAATTTCTATTTGATATGTTCTGTTTGAATATCATCTAATATGTCGTTATTTAAGCGCACTAACAACTTATTCTCTAAACCAGCGGTCCTCACTAGAATTTTAGAAAGGACCAAATGTAATTTTTGAAAATTACTTGCGGGCCGCATACATTTTTAATAATAATAACCGTAACATTGATTGTTTTTCAGAAAAAATTCCTTTTTTAATTCAACTAGTTTGTCTTATGTTATTTTACATGGGTGGAGATAATTTTTAGAAAATTCAATTTACTGAGTTGTGTAATGACGATTAATATTATAATGTTTTGGAATATTTATGGTTTTACGACAAATTAAATATAAAGCATCGTGTTTCTCACCAGAAATATAGAAAAATTCAATCTCCCAACTGTCTTGAAATATTCTGTGTTCAAATTTGATTTTATGTTTCGTCATGATAGAGAATTAAAATGTACGTGATAAAATACAAACGGACAATAAACAATAATGGATAAACTTATCATACAAGACTCGCGATGGAAATGAATAAACCCATAATCATAGGTACCTGCTTATCTGGCCAACTGGTAATTCAATATAAGTTTAAAACAGAAAGATAAAATAAATAAAAACGATAAGATTAAAAACAACGTTCATTTTATTCTCTGTTCATAGAATTTTGGATTTTAGAGTACAATTTAATTTTAACGCGGGCCGCACTAAATATGTTAAAGGGCCGCGTGTGAGGACCGCTGCTCTAAACGATCGTTAGTAAAACGGTTCTTTAAACCTGTTTTTATATATTATAACGAAAAAATACTTCTTTTGCACGATAATTGAATTGAAAATAAGCTTCAAACATACTTATAAACAATAAATAAGTCATAATATGCATTAATATTCTAATTAAATATTAAAACAACGTTTAGTTTTTTTGATCATTATTACGAGTATTATTATTATTACATTGTTGATCAGTATCAAAATGGTTTTCTTCTTTTTCTACTTCTTCCTTATTAAATTCTTCAATATCAAATTAAATCTGTGTTCTATTTAAATCCTTAATATTTTCATGACGTATATTTAAGTTCTAGCAATTGATTTTAAGTCTAGTAATTTTTGTCTCAGATTTGTAACTTTGATTTGGATAGTATTTGAGCCATTTTTAAAAGAGTCGAATGAATTACATAATTTTTCTAAAGCTGACTTGAACTAAAATTTAACTTGTTTAAAATATTTTGGATATTAATACGATAAATCAGTTATTAGTTCATTTTCGTTTTTAAAGCGATATTCAAGATTATTTATCATATTATCCATAGTTGTATCAAATAAGTCGATTTTACATTTTTTCTATTTTTTTTTTTTTTTTTTTTTTTTTTTTTTTTTTTTCAAAATTTTTTTGAAAATTTTTTTCAAACATTTTTATTTCTATAGGTGTTACGTCAGTGTTGTAGTGCTAAATAATATTATTTACGCAATGGGTGGGTATGACGGTCATCATCGACTAAATTCTATGGAAAAATACGACTTCAGACGAAATCAATGGACGATGGTAATGCCGATGAACTTTCAGAGAAGTGACGCTTGTGCCACAGTTCTAAATAGTAAGTAAAACGTAAAACGTTACAAAAATAAATAAATTAATAACATACTTATTCAACACAGAAATATGTATTAAAAATAAGAATTGCCTTCTATTTCAACATAATTAGATAATATTTTTGCTCAGGATAAATCATCAAATGAACGAAAAAATATTCTGATTAAAAATGGAAAATTTTATATATAATATTTAAAATTGTTTGTTTAATATAACATCACGTAACAAATAAAATATGATATGCACTTTTTCCAAAATCGCAAAATAAATTCATAAATTAAAACAAAATAATTCCTCGACAAAAGTTATACATAGCACCTACATATATATTTTTTTATCTCAAAGCTTGTGAAATATTGCAGTTCGACATTGTTTCCACGATTATATTTTTTTCCGTTGTGATTGGGAGTAGGTACTGCAGAAACCAAAACATGACCGATTATGAATATTTACACTGACATCTCACTTTGATAAATAGTACCCTGCAACGTCGGATTTTCGATTTTATAAAACATTACTTTTCACGGGTCTCTACTTTCTATAATTGTACGCAACAATAGGTGTACGCAAGGTCTGATTATGATCATAATATAAGAAGGGTGAGCTATTACTTTTGATGAGGCTTTCAGCGAGCTTAACATGACAAGTTATGACCACTATAATTGTGTATTGGCAATAAAGTATTAAGTACCATTTTTATATGATACATATTTGAAATTTATTAAATTTGATACCATTTATATATATATATATATAAATAAAAAAAAAAATAAGTCGATACACGGTGGTACCTTTCAACTTGTGGCCCAGGACTATAACCATCCCCTAACCTTCCTTGATCCAGAACTGGGTGAACTTTAGATGCGTAATAATGTTGTGCATACAATGTATGTGCACGTAGTCGGTACGTGAAATTTTACGGCGCCGTTTGTTCCGTATACGTACAACGCATATAAGAATTGAACTATCAGACGCTAACACTGTTGACGCTAATATGATTCAAACTACTGGGACGACATCAATTTGGACGGATGATTTCTTTTTTTTTTTTCTTGAGTATAATTTCAACGTGTTAGAATCGCTGTAAGATCGGATAATAATTGCAATTCCACGATTTTTATAAAAGAAATCGTTGAGGCTAGATAACACTATCGAGTTAGAAGTTCTACCCAAAAAATAGTAAATATTATTTAATAATCTATAAAGTATTGTTTAGTTAGTTTGTGCACGTGTACGCATTATGCAAAGCATACATAAGTTATAATATTAAGCACAATAGTTAAAATTAACAATTAAATGCTTGAAAAATGTAAATAAAAAATCCGTTGTTGTTGATAGTTATAATCAAAGTAAGTCGGATCGAAAAAAATGATTAAAAATTACAAATTTACAATAACATCGTACAAATAAGTGTTGTGCTACTGGTGCTAGTGTTCTGTTAGATAAAACTGGTACTACAAATGCGTTCAATAAGCAGCAGCAAAATGTAAAAATTTAGAATTTCACGTATTTTATGTTGATGGGAAACGCCTTTTACTCATTATATACTTATACGATACTCACTCAGAAATTTATTAATCAAACTAATAGTTAATTTCAGAGAGTATAATAACTTCTTCTTCTGTAGCATATTTTCGGAGGGAGGGTTTCAATCTCCCCCCTCCAAAAATAAAAAAGAGATTAAAAAGCTATAAATGACTTACCACGAAGATGCAGAGAAAGAGAACATTAATTTATTACATGTGGTTGTAAATAACTCTTCATTTATTGTATTTATAATAATAGAATAATATAATTATTAATTCATACTTTATATGTAATTTTTATAATATTATAAGTTCACTTATTTTTTAAAAAAATGTAAATCCCCCCACACAAAAAAATTTAAAATACGTGGCACTGCTTACTGTTATTATTTAATCTCTATAAAATCAGAAAGAAGAGTTTTATTCGCCCGAATTATATATTTTGATCCGGAAATAATACTTTAAACGACCGACTGGTTATATTATTTTCTTTGAGTTCCTAAGAAACTCGCCGCAAATTTCGGTTACGGCCTCATGGGGAGGGGGACAGATTATTCGTGCGCAGGGGTATGCAGGGTATGCAACTGCATACTCTAAACATAGAGTCTTCTTTCTAAAATTACAAAAAATAAATAAAAATTATGACATATTTGATCTTATGTATATTACGTTATTTTGTATTACATTATGATTTTTATTATATTTTTATATTCAGTCCCAGACAGTTTAATTTATTTTTGAAATACAAATCATATACTATAATAACGATTTAATGTGTTAATTAAATTAAGAGGTACAATAATTCAAGCTAGATTAAATAGCTATGAACTACAGAACAAGAAATAGCTATAAATTAAAATCTCGAAAACATTATTGGTGATAATAAGAACTCAACTGTACGCAGAATCGTTTTATGATTACTTTTGATTTTTATCAAATTTATTTTGTTTTTCATTTAAGTATATAATTAAGTTTTTATTTATTTACCCTATTTAAACGTATTACTCAAACCATTTAAAGTGTAAAATATTTAATTTTTTTTTTTTCGTAATTTATTTTAAATTTTAATCATGAAGACAGTTATAACGATTAATAAATAGCTATTTAATTATTTTTTTCGGGAATAAAAATTAAAATTTTAAATTAAATAGTTATTAAGATCAGCATTTCGAACGCTTAAATTAACTTTTAGTTTTAGGGGGGGAGGTTAGGCAGTGGCTAAGCCTTTTGCCTTTTATCCTTTTGCATACCCTGAGAAAGAGGTCTGCGCATGCCTATGATTCTAAGACCGTGGTAGATAAAGATTTGATGACTGGTTTAAAAATTAAAATACACGGCATTGACATCGGAAATGGAAATTTCTTTTAAATGGAAATTTTGCTTTTAGAAAATTTAATTGTATTATTATTATTATTATAAAACAAACGTTAATGTTATCGTATTTCTTAGATTTTTATTGATCGATTTTCAGTCGGGTACCACAAATTTTATATTTTCTCGTATCAGGTGTCCTAACCTGCACCTATTTAGCTTGTAATTCACGGCTCTTTAGAATTCGCCTCAACATTTTTTTTCTTTGTACATTAAAATCATACGAACGACTATTAACTTTGACTATGTCTGATGATAATATTTTTAATTCGAAACCGGTCGTACACTTAGACATGGCTTCGGAAACCTACTTTTAGGGGGGTACCAAGTCCCTAGATAAAGACTTTAATAAAAACACATACATTTTAAATAATAAACTCTTAACGTCTATTTCTAGTCTTAGCAAAAATATCTAAAATGTCATATGTACATAATATGTATGTATATGTATACGTAATTATACAAATCAATTTCTCTATGAGCATTAACTAAACATATATTGGACAGCCTTTCTTCAATCATTCTCGAACGAAGCCATGTTTTCACTTTTTTTAGAGTTGAAAAACTTTTTTCCGCAGTAGCGACGCTTACTGGTAAAGTTGCATGTATATGTAATATACGCACTGATATAAATTTGGAGTTATTCTAACTACAACGAGTGTCAATGTGATACATATTTGAACGTCAGTTTTGCGCTAAGGATGTATAAGTGTCACCCTAACACCAGAACTATAATCAAATTTCTAAAACCACTAATCGTTCATTTGCCTAACCTACCAACTCAATATAAAGAAAACGTGTAATAAACATATTCAAAGTGTTATTCATCGAGGAAACATAGATTTATTATAGGAAACTCTAAGGCTTGGGGGGACTTCCTAGGCACCTCTTCGAAGCCGTGCTTGCGTACATAACATATATAATAATAAAAAAAAAAAATAAAAAAAAATCGTTTTTCGGACTTTACGGTTTTGCGATAATTTTAAAAAAAAAAAAAAAAGACTTTCCTACGAAAAGGTTGCCGACCGTCGGTATGCGTGGACATTGAAATAGGACATGTGATTTTGTGATGCATCGACACCCCAACGAAATCGAACATCGCTCCCCGCGTCGACCGGAACGGGCTCGATTGCCGAACTCGACTGTCAAAGTCGGTTTTTTCTTCTCTGCGCGAAGAAGTTTCATTCGAAAAAAAAACACATAATAACACGACTGACGTCCGTTTGCAAAGACAGGATATATATCACGGGCGGGTTCGACGGACAGTCGTGCTTGAACTCGGCGGAGACGTACAACGTGGAGACGAACGAGTGGAAGCTGCTGCCGGCCATGCGGACCAGGCGCAGCGGCGTGTGCTGCATCGCGTACCACGGGCTGCTGTACGTGCTGGGCGGCTGCGACGGGTCGTCCCGGATGAACGGTTGCGAGAAGTACGACCCGGCCACGCGCAAATGGTCGCCGGTGGCCGACATGCGCAGCACCCGGAGCAACTTCGCCGTCGAGCTGCTGGACGACACGATATTCGTGGCCGGTGGTTTCAACGGCGTGACCACCATCGCGCTGGCGGAACGCTACGACGGCCGCACGGACCGTTGGTGCGTACCGCTGGCCACGCACACTGTCGAATAGTACTTAGCACATTGCACTGCGTATAACCGTTTCGACTCGACACGATGTGCGTTTCACTTATCGTTCGCCCGCGCCGATAACTGTTTATTTCCGAGGAGCAGATTCATTAATTTGCGATGGGAGGGGACAAGGGGGTGAATGGATCGCGATCAACATTATGTTTCTGTCCCATATCGATCGCAATCAGTCGATTCCATATCGAATAATGCTAAATTGTGTCGTATCGACCAGCCGTTCGTTCGAATAGTTACAAAATCGTAATGGAAATACTTAACGTACAGCAAATGCGTGTCTCGATGTACTTGTGTATTCGATTACCGTTGTAACACGTAGAACATGTAAAATCGACCGCAAACTATGGTTCACTAAAATTGTAAAAATAAAACCGATTGCAGGCGACAAATTCAAACCGACTTTCGATTTAATAGGTCCGTGTAATCAGCAGGAACTAATGCGCTCGCCCGTCACCATTCCTCCATCGTTTCTTACCCGAGAAAATGAGTTCGTCTTGAATTTATTTAATTTATCTTTCCGGATAAATTCGATAACGGATCGATTTCGGTTTTCAGCTCGGACTGCACAATGAAATATGTTGGTCAAATGATTAAGCCGAAACAACCACGATTATTCTATTTACCGGCAACTTTTATGTAACAACAATCATAATAAATGCGAACTTCATAGTTTTCGTTCTTGGTTTCTATACTAATGTTGTTTCCCACCGAAGTAATTTTCATTTATATTTTCTGTGTAATATGTGAAAATAATTATTGTGCTGTCCCGGTTCTAAGTGACATTCCTGAACCCGTTTAAACGCACACCCAACGTATCTCAACGTTCCCAACACCATCGTTTATTATTTCTGAATACTAATTATGCGCTAATCCCTCAAGGTCCGATGTGAAACACATGAAAGTGTTTAGATCGGCGCTGTCGGCGTGCGTCATAAAGGATTTGCCCAACATCAAACGTTTCTTGCGTTCGTACAGATTTCACCGGGAAGACAGGAAAACATTCAATAAGAACAATCAACCAGGCGACTACAGTAATGCTGCGATTTTCGCAATTCAATCCCAAATGCTTAACGGGTATCAAATTAATCGTCACAGATCGGATGTTATCTATGAAGAAAACGAAGAGCCAGACAACGGAAATCCCCACGAATGATCTATTCAATATTTTAAATAAATTCTAAATCTCAAAGCCAAAAATTTACTAATCCCACATAATTTATTTGTGTTACAAACTATACCATTTCTTGAAATTAATTTCCTTATATTATTTATATTGTGTAACATAAATAGGTAAGTAAATAAAATACTTAAATTTCATTAACGAATTGTGTAACAATGTAATAATTGAATTGAATGATTTATCGTTGAACATTTAATGATAATTCACATATTATTTAATTAAATAGTTTTCAACTAAATATTATGTATGATCTTGTTATCATAATTATTTAATTAAAATATATAGTTATAGATACATTGCATAATAGAATTTTTCATTAAATTTTATAAATTATAAATCACAGATCCAGGCATTTTTAAATCATCCTACTGTTATCCATAATATATTTTTTCTTGAGAAACTTAAATATGTTATGTACATAAGTACTAATCAGTGTTACATAAAAAAGTGTATAAAACTAAGTGTACTAAGTGTACTAACAAAGTATGGCATTATGATTAATATTCACATTTTATTCAGATAAATTATTTATTTTACTTATTACTTAATAACGAGTACGAATTAGTATAATTATTGTAAGTTCACACGATAATGCAAAATCCAAATGACGCATAACCGAAATGGGAAAAACCGCCTAAGTTTTATTTCGGAATCTTCATACTCTTTGAAAACATTTTTAAACCGGCTGTCAGCCTGACGCAACATTATTTAGTCGCCTCTTACGACCGGCTGAGGAACCGTGGAAGTATTCTGATCCCCTTCCACAGGGGAAGTATAAAATATCCAAGTAGGAGGAAAAAATGTATACTTTTTGTTAATATATTTGAAAAAACTAGTTTTTTGATTAATGAAATTTTTTCTTATTAGTCAAAAGTAATAAAATTATAAACTCGTTTGATATTTTTATTTATTTTTTAAGAATTTTGAAATAGTAGTTAATTAGTATATAATAATAGGTACATTGCACCAGTGGCGTATCCAGAATGACATGGGGTGGTTACAGGAATAAAAATATATCTACAACATAATATTATTATCTATATGTATATTTTAAAATTGTTTTCGTAACATTTACATTTAAACATTTACTTTTTGTTTTTTTAACATAGGTAAAAAAAGAATCAATTTTTCCCGATGATTTTTTATCACTTTCCGAATGAGCCTAAAATTATTTAATTATAAAATAAAATCATATTTTATAATATCTACTAGTTATAATATAATATACTATACTATATATAATATAATATTCGAAAAAAATTATTTAGTATTATAAAATTAATTAATTTTGTTAACACTTACCATTTTAATTCTGTGAAACGTAAGACTATAAATGTAAAGACGTCAACTTGTTCATACAACTTCTCGGATAAGAAAGAAAGAAATTTAATAACTACAATATTTCCAAGATCAAAATAATAGTATTTATTGATTGTGATTAATGTTTTGTGAAAAATACCTAAAATATCTATTTGTAAAACTAATATACACTCTTTTAATCTATAATATACAATGACAATATTTATGATCGCCCGTATTATTGAGAACATTATTACTTGTTTATAATATTACATTTTCATATTTGGATACTTGGTTAATTGGTTAATATTAAACGCAACTGATCTATTAATATTGATCGTAATAAAACGCGAGAAATTAATAAAAATAACATTAAAAAAAAAGGCTCAAGGGGTGTTTTGAACCCTCAAAACCACCCCCGTGGATACGTCACTGCATTGCACACATATATTTATGTATTAATACATTGCATTTATATGTTCTTATATTTTTAACATTTATTTTACTCAAAACAATTTGATATTACTCACTATGTTTAAATACCCAGGAACTATCAATATATCATCGAAATACTTAGATCTTTATAGGATCGATTATAAGAATATATAATTATTCAGCATCCAATATATTTTCTTTGTAATTGATTATTTATTATTGTATTAATTTACTTAAATTTTTGTTTAAAATTACGATTTTGATCTATGAATCTATGATTAAACGCAATTAATAATATTATACAAATTTTAAATAATTTGTACTAAGTATAATAGTATAGCACAAAATATGCAAGTTGTATTTATTATATATAACATCAACTAGTAATATCTGTCAGTTGATTATGTACTTATCATATAATATTTTTTTTTTTTAGATAAGTAAATAATAAAATATTTTATCTCATTTTAAATCAGATATTGGTTTAAAAAATTACAGTATTATGACTGAGTATTGACTTTTTTTATTTTCAGTAACCATAAAAATTTTAAAATATTGAAAATATGTCCTCAAATCTTCGATAGTCAGGTATAGTACAAGAATTATTTCAAGCGAGATCAAGTATCATTACTATGTCAAATACTAAAATCACATACATTAATCACTCAATGCGTCATACAAATCAGACGAATAACATTATTTTCTAAATCTCAAATCAACTTTTATTTTTTAACTATATTGTTTTAGTGTATATAAACATACATAATTCTCAACATAAATGTAGATGTTTATATTTTATATAATATATTCTTAGCCCATTAACTTTTGTGTACACTTTAGATGTTATCGGAATATTGTTACAGTGAGTTTTTATCAAAATAAATAAAAATTATAAAATGTTGGAGAAAATTATAAATTTAATAATATCAGTTACGGTGATCATATTATAATTTATTTGAAATGAACTTGAATACTATACAATTTATTTATATTACAATTTTTTGTAATGTACTACAATCGAACAGGTATTTTTATTTCTGGTGCAAAATGAGAAAAATATTAATCTCTATTATCATGTTTTTAATATGCTCAAGTATGGTAACCCGCATTATTATTTTAAAGAGTATGTATCATTATCGTTACATTATTAACCAGCAACTTTATCGTGTGCAATATCATCATAAATTATCAATAAATAATGTGCATTACAATTAATGAATTAAAGATGTAGCCACTATCTATCATCATTATAACAAGACATGCTAATTTTTATCGAAGGAGTGTAATAAATAATAGAAATTATTTATAAGTACAAAGTATATAATAAAGTATTCAAATTATAACTATTAATAAAAAAAAAATGATTAAATACAATATTACATTATAAATCAAAGTCAACCTTGCATGACATTCTAAAAAATGTATTGATTATTTTTTTCAATATTTATTGGGATCAGTACTGTAACTAGGAAATTTGACGCCCGAGGCTAATAAAAATGTAGCGTCCTTCCGTAGATGGAAGTATGGAGTGTATTCAAAACTTTTTATTTTTCGTACACTACTTAAGAACACATTTATACCAATAGCGACTGAAGAGGGCATACCCATTTGCCCCCACCCTCTAAATTTTACACTGATAGGGATACTTCGGTGAACTTACATTAACTGTTAAACGATCTTTACTGTAGATATTCCTCAAATAGATCCTCAATTGGATTTTGTAGTAGTCTGCATAACGTTTTAGCTATAGAAATAAATGACAGGACATCGAGAGCATCGTAGATTCGTAAGAAAATCATTAGCAACAGGAAAATCCAAGAAGTTCGCTGTAAGACAATTGGATGTGACTCAGATAATTTTGCTCCATTTCATCCCCACAGCGATCGTGGGCGCACTGATGCCGTTCATCGGGGTTTCGCCTAAATCCAACTAAATCATTGTGTGTATACCTACCAGTTTCCAGTAATTAACACCGATTACGGAATTACGAAATGGTGAGCGTCGAACAATAGATTTAATTTCGAATTAGTTTCACTCATTTAGTCTTGTAATTACTCAAAATATATAAATGATCTTAATAATGTCCAGTATAAGTTTTTGAAAATAATTGCTATTATCTCTAACATATATATCTCTAGAGATACTGTACTTAAATGTTGTTGAAAACTTCTTGAGCTTAGAATCATTGAGTTCAAGACGTAAATTAGCAGATACTATGCTATTTTAGCATAATATCTGCTAATTTACAACATTTTAAACAACCTCATTGACTGTCCTGAGTTATTATATGATATTGATTTTCGTAAACCATATAGTAACACAAGAATACTAGACCTATTCATAATTTCTGACTTTAATACCAATAGTGAAAATAATACGTTATTTTTAAGAGCTTTTGTATTGGCCAATAGGATTTCCGTCGAATTACATTTTCTTATACTTACTCGCAATAGATATATTTAAATTTAAGGCATTAGAAACTGATAAAATGATTATATTAATACTAGGTATGATAAAACAATTGTATAAAATTGTATTTATATACATACGTCAGAAATGTTACATTAGTTATTGTAATATAGTTAAAAGGGTATTTGCTCGTGGACATCAAAAAAAAAAAATAAAAAAAAATACACTGTCGGCGAGCGGACGGAGGTTAGCAATCATGTCGACGCCTGTATGGTGTGGAAAACCGAAATGAAATCGACACCGCGCGGCGTTTGAAGACTGCAGAACGAACACCAGTGCCGAGACGTGTTCGTAGGGCCGCCCGAACACGTTTACTGGCGCTCAGCACGTACGCACGCGCGAGTGACCACGAGACTATGTCACGGCCGGACCACAAGTAATACATGTTCGTCATTCGTATGCACAACACACGGCTGCGCTAGGTCACGACGGTTGTACCGGAGAAGTCGCGAGTGAACACTGTCACTGTCGGAAACGCATTCCGATGGGCAGATGATGGTCATTTGAAGCGAACGCTTGCGATTTCCCCGTAGAATCATTGATCGCATGGAAATCCGTAATGATCGACCGCAGAATATATGATCCTTGGACCAATGAATGTTATGTTATGTTATGTTATGAATGTTCGCAGAAGTAGTCAGATACAGCAGTTGGCACAGTGTTGGTTTTACGTGGGGGGGGGGATCCATGGGGTTTGAACCCTCCCCAGATCACGCGTTTAGGTTGTGATATATTATATTTTATACTATATTTATTATTATATGCGGATATACGCTTGTACGCTTATAAATAAATCTGGTGATTTCAACCGTATGGCCCGTATTATATTTGAACGCTTGTTACCTACTTAGGTATTTATATTTTATTAGAAATCACGATGTTTTCGATATTTATTGTTGGTGATTATCATATCGTTTGGTCTTTCGAAGAGCATACATTATTAGATTATTATTGAGATTATTATTAGCGATAAACTGATGATTTATTTATTTATTCATTACTATTGTTAGTGTAAGAATTACCTACATTTGAAGGGTACAAGGAGAAAACCAGAAAAGTCACTTTTTTCCATAATGGTTATTTTGGTATCAAATTATTTGTTTTGACGTATTCTATAATTCAAGAAATCGAATCTGGGAAAAAAGCAGATTAGTCGTGAGTTATGACCACCGAAAGTTTTGGCATACAGGCAAAAACTATTAGGTTTTGAAATTAAAAACGCGTTTTTCTCGAAATAAATAAAAAGTGACTTTTCCGGTTTTTTCCCTGTACCCTTCATTTTAAAACTTTAAGTAATCATTCATTAATGGGTTAAACATTTTTTGTTTTCATATATTATAAAATAAAGTAAAAGAACCCCCCCCTCCCTTAGAAAAAATTAAAATAACCACTACTGAGTTGGCAGGAATACGAAATACGGTTCACTGAAAGGTCGAACAGATATTTTCTTAATGATATCGATATTTTTCAATAATTAATTATTTTACTCAATTAATTAATATAATAACCATGGCTGATAAGGCAACGGAATGTTCTAGCTACAACACGGATTTCAATCCGTAGTTAAATTATTCATAGAACTACTTTATTATCTAAACTAGGTTTATAATTTCAATTGTTTTCAAATCATTTGTTGTACTTATTAAACGATAAGCATATAAGAATACAACATATTTATAGTTATTATATTTTATTATAACATTTATGTATTCATTTATTTATATTATAACATTATTGTATGAACGACTTACAGAAAAGTTTCAATTTTAGTTATTCCATCAGTAAAATAATTTTCAAATGTATTTCTTGCGTTTTTCAAAGTATAAAGGTAATTGCTTTAGCTGTGTTTAAATTATGACTACAATCGTTGGTTATGGTTAAAACAACTGACAATATATGCTAATAATTTTTTCAAGCGTAAAAGAATTATTTTTTAAATACTGTTCGTATATTATACCAACTCAAATGTCCCGCCATATAACAACCGTTTAATGATAATATAACGGATCGGCATCGTATCACAATCGTTATCATAATGATTAATTCATTATGTGATAATTTTTATGTTTTCTAGTTTTTCGAGTGAGTTGTGTATTATTACGTTAAAATTCAAGTTTTCAGTCTCACCAAAAAATTCTTTGCTCTTCAAGCTTTATTTGTATTTGTGTGTTACTAAAACAATTATCATCGATGACTCTAACCACCTACATATTTTCACTCCTCGTTTATTTGTCTATAAACATCTGAACACCTCAGATTTGTTTTCGTCTTGTCCTTAGACTCATATCAAGATCACGTTTTCATCTTTTGAACTATAAATTCGGCCATTCGGTAAATATCATTGTTTTAATTTACAATTGCCTGCCATAATTTATTTGTTCTATTGTTCTAGGAGGGTCAATTATACCAGTGGATATAGGCAATATAATAAACGTGATTGATTGGGTTCGTCTCATCATTGATGCAGACTTTTTTTTTCAAAGTAATTAATTACATTATTATTATTATTATTTTTTTACTTGTGAAATAAGTACAAGTAGATGATCATTATTACCAAACTGCGAAAGAAGGGTAATGTGTTTAATGTTACAGTATGTATGTTCCTATCTACCACCTAAACTAATGGACCGATTTTGATGAAACAAAACTGAAATAATTCATTAGTTTCGGAAGTTTTCTAAGTTAGATTTCATAATTGAAGGAAGTGAAATTTACTTTATGTTTTATTGCTCTTTATTGCCTTTATCAATTGGTAACGTTCGTCGTTTATCGTCACTGATACCGGTCCTATTATGCCATAGTATTATAAAATTATGTGACGGTCACCAACTACCCATGATAAATCATATATCATATGATAAAAATTCATTAAACAAATGAACTCGTTTAAGAAGTCTACAAAGTTAATAAAAAAAAAAAAATAATTTAACAGAAAACAACCAGATTATTGAAAGAATTATGTTATAAAAATAAATAAAAAAAAAAACAAAAAAATGTACTCAAATGTATGTAAATTTGTTGTTTATAATACGCTTAATATTTTTCATTGATCAATAATGAGAAACTTTGTATTAAGTTTTCAGAGCTTTTTGAAAAATAGAAATATTGATATTTTACAAAAATAATTTAAAAAACATAACATTGTTCGAACAGAAAAAAATTAAAAAAAAAATTGGAAATCTTTTGAAAATTATCCTATTTTTAGTAAACAATAATATAAGCACTCAGTAAATATTTAAAATTGTTTTAATTATTATTTTTGAGTTTTATCAAATAATGGTGTTTTTTTTGTTAGTTTTCGTAATTATTATAAAAACTATTGTAAATTTTGTGAAATAACGTGGAGTGGATGATTTAAAATGTTTAAATTTGAAAATCATTCACACATCTGATAATACATATCTATGTCTATTTTAGCACAGCCTTAGTTCCAAAGTTGAATTTACTATTCATGTTAAAATCCTTTATATTTTTACCTTTTCTATTTTCTGTAGTGACCTATTATATTTGGTAAAATGAGACAATATAAACAATTTTTTTTTTTTTTTTGTGGTATATGCCTTTGTGTCCCATATAATTTCTAATTTTATACAAAAAAATTTCACATAAAATAAAAATTGATTATGTGTTAAGTTTAATTTATTGTAAAAAAAATGTTTAATACTTTGTATTTTATTTATTTAGATCATATAATCTAAAAACGAGAAAAAAACATTTGTTTCTAAATCCTCAAATTCAGCTGGTGATGTTTATTGAATTTGTTATGGGCTACCATATATGACATAACCATGTATAAATAGAAATTATGTGCAACACAATATTTTAAGAATTGCTTAAAACAGCATGTTGTTATATTTAACTAATTGGTCGTGAGCCGAGTATTAATTGGAAGGTGCAACGAAAGTTAATCTATATTCTTAGAATACTATATTGGGAACGATGCCTATCGCTGGATACTGCTAAACAACAAGGCCTATGACGTTAATCGAGCAATATAAAGAGGGATCAAAATGACCACAATTCAGAGTTCTAGCCACGAAACTACAAGTTACTTCACGTCACTCTATGTTGTATTTTGTTAAAACACTTTGAAAGTTAAATAAACGTTTAAGTTAAAGTCTTATGTCTTATTAAATAATTTAAATACATCTTCGACTGCACTACTTGGAATCGAGCCGGTGGCACGTAACAATTATGCAGCAAGTAAAATTAAGAATAAAGTGACTTTTTCATCTCATGAAAGGTAATATATAAATTTTGAAATTTTAAATAATTGAATAATAATAATTTTAATTTTTAGATGAAACCAGGTTGATTGCTCAATACAGTTTACACTGAGGATTAAGGACAAAAACATTACGAGAAAACGCTTACTTATTATTAAAAATATTTTGGAACTTTATTTAGAAGATCCACAGAATAAGATTTAAGCAGAATAACATGGCTGCTGTATCTAAATGTTTTTTATCAGCCACACCTTAATTTTATAACCATTGATCCAAAAATATTTGAATCTGTCTATTTTATAACGACCCATGTACAGTGATACATTGTCGTCCTAATAATAATTATATTTATTCATAACTTAATTTTATTATAATAAACTTCTATTTCATTGTCAACCAATTATTATTACTTTTGTTTTTTTTATATTTTAAATATACGTACCACCATTACAATTTATCTATCATTTAAATCCAGTTTTAGTTTTACGTACACATACCGAAAACTACGTGTACCATAACAAAATGACATAATATAAAAACCAAATATTAAAAAATAAAAGTATAATTATATTTTACAACCAATATATTATACACTTAAATTTAATAAAATAAAAGGATATGTGAATTTTAAATATTTATAATTAGTATTTATTGGTATAAATCCTTTTTTTTTTAGATTTATTATTAAGATAAAATAAATTTAAATTGTTATATTTTAGAAATAAATGATGTAATTATTATATAAATTGTAAACATAATTCTGAATTCATCTATTAATGGGAAGATTTGATATTGATTGGTTGAGTACTTCAAAATAAATTTAAACAATTTTGATAACAAATAATTTTTATATTGCTTATCTATAATTTATGAATTTAAACAAAATTGAATCTATTTTAGGTGACAGACAACAATCTATTTATACTACTTATTATTATAGAATTATTATCTAATTTTAGTATGATCGAATAATATTTTACATTTATGTTATTTAATTTAACAAAACTAATGACTTTATGTTGTTAATTGTAAATATTCAATTGCATAAATTGTAAAATCTAATTGAAATTAAATTCTCTCATTAAATCATTCCTATTTATTAAATGTGTTTAATATATTTATACTTAAAACATTACATTAATTTTCTCAAATAATATAATTAAAATTTTTTTACACAAATAAATAACTTTCTGATTATTAAAAATGTCAAGTTTATATACTAACAACACATTTATAAAATTTAGCTGTAATAATAATTGATTCATTTGATTCTCAGCTATTTATTTTTATTAAACCATGATTAATTAATATTATATTATATTACATTATTTTTTTGTTATTCACCATATATAAACATACAAATTATGTACATTATTTTTTTTCAAGTTTTAATCAGTGTAATAAATTTCTTTACAAAAATTCACTCCTTATTCTGGATATTAATGCTTATTGTTTTATAGTTTAATCTGTCTAAAAAAAATATTTGATTAATGTTAATAATAAAAAAAAAAAAATGTTAAATAATTAACTACAGGTGTAAGGTGTACTGATACAGCGAACAAATTTTAATTACTGACAGTAAAACACAGCATTGAATCATTAAAAATAAATTCATTTTTATTCTATTAAAATGAACCCAAAGTTTTCATATTTTATTGGTAACTTTTTAATTAGAAATATTTGTGTGATTATGTATTATATTTTTTCATATAATATATAAATTATATACTTTTATACACATCTTATCCCTTCTATTGAATAAGCTACAGAAACTTAATATATCTTGTTAACACTATATATTAAAATATATGAACTACATTATGTTCACAAATATAATGAATAAAATTTAATTAAAGTAAAACAATTTTATTGTTAAAAAATAAACTTAAATGAAAATAAAGTCTTTATAAATAAAATTTATACTAAAATAATTTAAATAAAATAACCATTCATGTTATTGCAATGATTATTTAAATATTTATATTTCAATTTATTAGTAAAGTTTAAAATTAATACCTTTACTTAATAAAACAAATATACATTTGTTCGAGAAGTTTTTTGGCTTGCAGAATGGACAATCTCCAATGGGTCAATTATAGTAGTAACGTGTTACTCCAAACAGAGACTACCCTATAATGGATTTAACAATCGATATAAATGTATAATTGTGTAACTGTAATTTCTAAATACCAAATTTGTTATGTTTAAAACAAAGTGTTTTTATCAAAATGTTTAAAACTGTTGTAAAACATTTATTTGTACCATTATCATTATTGTTTAAAATGTTCAAAACTTCTGTATTAAACATGTTTTTATTTAATTTTTAAATTATTTAGAGTTAATGTTAAAACTATGGGATATATATATATATATATATATATATATATACTCAGAAATCGGGATATAGTAAATACTAAAAAAATAACATTAAACTATTTTAAAATTTTTAAGTTACGAGCAGAGGCGGAAATAGAGGGATATTCATCTAAATTTTAGATGGTGTCATTTTTTTAATTTATATTTCTATTATTAACTGCTAGTTTGTTATTTTTAAAATGTTTGATTATAATATGTTTAAAACTCAATATGTATGATTATATGCTAATTATTAGAAAAAATTATAAGGAAGGGTATTTGATTTTTGCTCTATGTTAGGGCCTAATTTTAACATTTTCCCAAGGTGTAGAAATTCATAATTCCTCTCTGGTCACGAGTAATTACTAAGTTATTATACACACAACACATGAGACACGAGTAACTAACTGCTAGTGGTTATACAAGAAACTTAATAACTGATGAAGTGATAGACAAAGATGATGGTTTTTGACCGTGAAGCGGCGATGTCACATGGGTATACGTCAAGTTGTATTGATACACTATGGTATACCGTATTACTGCAGTTAAGATTATTAGTTAAATCTAACTATTACCACAATGTGGTAATCTATCACTGCCGGCGCAGTTATTTAGTTTTGTATGACGAGACGGCAAGACGTAAGCAACCGAGCACGTGTGACTTGCATTCTCCCTGGTCTTCACAGCGTAATCGGCACTCTTGTCACGACGCTTTTGGCACTTCAACTACTTGCCATCGATGGTTCATTTCTCGCTCATTCGTCCATTGTCCGTCCTCGACGCAATATCTTCAATTCATGTAAAAATAAAGTTTTTTTTAAATAAATAGTTAAAAACATGACATTTTAAAAATAAATAAACAAAAAAAAAACATGAAACATAATAATAACTCTGGCTTATCGCTTTTACAAAAAAATAAATAATCAACTTATCAAAATAATATTAGGCTAAATACTGATATTTATTTACAAATAATTATAAAAGAAAATAATAATATACAGATATAAAGTTATTGTAATAAATACAGGTTACTATAAAAGTTACTAAACTATGAACGAAGCATTATTTTTCAAGAAGTAAACATGTATAATACGTAATTGAAAGTAAAAATATCAAATCATAATACTGAAATAAACAATCTACCTATATTAATTTTTTGGAAATATATTAATTTATTTGAATTCTTATGACTTGTCCCAATGTGACATGTCCCTAAAGTTGAACTAGAAAGATTGTGATACTTTTAACAACATCTATTACATTGTTTTGATTTTATAATTTTTGTAAATTTGTATGAAATTGGTTAATAAAAGAGAGAAAACGTACAAATACCAATGTGTAAGCGGTTTGTGAAAAGTAGACTCAGCTTAAACAAATAGGTTTTTAAGAAAAATGTGGAAAAAAATGTGTAGATACTATGTACGAAGTACCGCATTTAAGGGGAGGGCACTGGCCACAACTGCCCCGGGCACCAGTTTTTTGAGAGTGCCAAAATTTTTTGATCGGAAATTTGGTCACTTGTGAATTATTGAACTTTAAATATTATTTTGAAATTATTATTTTTTTTTGTTTTTAATAACAGTATCATAAATTAATGTTATTGTATTTAATTTACTAATATATATTATTAATGTATTTAAAGCTGTATAGCTATCAGCGATTCAGAATATTATTAATATACTTAATATTAATTCCCAAATTTGTTGTGATAATATCAATAAACATAAGTTATTTATTTATAATATGGCGTATTATGTTATCGCGTGCGGTGGCATGCCTACTACACAAAAATAGCATTGATTTTAGAATATCTAAAAGGTTCATGAGGATCTATCTCCTATATTTTCCGTGGGTAGGCCCCTTAGAGGGGCACCAAATTTTTTTTGCGCCCGGGCGCAAAATGTCTTAATACGACACTGTATATACGAAATAGATAACAATCGTGGTATACAAAATACACTAATATGTTTTTATGAAAAATGTGAACTACGGTTGAAATGTTCATCTAAATCTTCGCAATGTCTCTGTAAATTACAGCCTAAAAGAAAACTGTTCTTATTTAACCTTTTTCTTAACCCTGTAGGAATGAAACCAAACGCCCAAAATCTATGCTATATGTATACCACAAACATACTATTTTTCAGTAATTAAATGCATATTAATTATTAATACATATCGTGGTAAACGGTAAAATGTTAACATTTTAAACATTTCTTTATCATAGGTATATCCGGTCCGTTAGTAGATGTTGCGACTTATCCATAATATTTATATGTGTCATAAATTCATAATAATTATTTATTTTTGAGTGCTAAATGCAATATACAAACGAGAACAAATTTCTTATGCAAAGTATGCAGAGAGAAAGGAACTGTTAACCAAATGTGTGCGGTTTTGAACTATCAACTTTTCAAATTTTCCTTTTTAACCATAGAATAAATATGTACGGTATTGAACGATGTAAAATGTGCGGTTATGAACGGTAAGTGTGCGGTTTTGATGACCGCCGCATTTTATGACCAACAGATGTATTGATAGAAATACATTGGATTTATATTTATAATGATAGATTTCCTTCATAACTGAAAAATATACACATTTAACCACATAATATCAATATTTATTTACTCATTAACTTGTTATTTAAAACTTTAGATTATATAGTTTTTAAATGGCAATAAGTTATTTTGTGTTATTTTGTGCTATTTTGTGTATTGTCTATAGCAGTGATTCTTATCATTTTCTCATTCATGTCACCATTAGCCACTAGAATCAAACGCCGCATCACGCCCTAACATCAAAATAATAAATAATCTTAACTGTATATTTTAGAATAATTCTTAAAATAACAAAAAAAAAAATACGGTAGATACACAGAAAAATAATAAGTACAGTTACAATTTATTGAGTTGCAGGGTTCAATAAACATTGACATTATAAAGTAAAAATTTGCAAGCAAAAATAACAAAAAAAGAGAGAAAAAATATTAATGATTTGTATTTTTGTTATTTATTTTATTTGTATATAATAATACTACATATCTAGCGACTGTAAAATAACTAACAACTCCGGTAAAGTCGATAAAATAATTGATAATGCAGCGATTTCGCGTTAATAATATTAGTGCACGTGTTTATTGGATCTAAATAATAAATATAAATAATGTAAAGATACAAACTT